GGCCATTAGCCTGCGCTTCAAACAACTCAGCATCTTGCATAGCCAGGTTGAAGTTCTCCATACCAGAAGTATCCACCGCATCATGCTCGTGATCGGAGTGATGAGATATGCGGAGGATTTGGTTGAAATCACCCACAACAGCCCAAGGATGTGAGTTAACAGGAGTAGTCGCATTAATATATGACAACTCCTGCCAAAGCGTCAATCTTTGCTCAACTAGATTGAAGCCATAAACAAAAGAGACCGTCATTCTGAGCCGGAATGAAGATACCGCAAGTGACTAGCTGAGTAGAAGCCTGGTAAATCACTATAGATACTGACGGATCCCAGACCACCACAATTCTTCCCGTAATGTGATGATCAAAATTGACAAAAAAGTTCCAGCCTGCTGGAATAGCTGTCTGTTATTCTACTCGAATTACTAGGTTGAATATGCGTTTCACAAAACGCTCCAAAAAGTGGTTTATGGATGTTAATCCATTCTCTTTTCATGTCCTGACGTCTGGTAAGATTCAGACCTCTTATATTCCACACAAAATACATATTGAATGGGTTTAAGCGAGCGGTGTGGCCTTGCGGCCACTCTTCTTGCGCGAAACCAAGAAGAAAGGTGCTTCAACTTCTGATTCAACAGAATTAACTGCGATTTGCTTCTAATTTGAGACTGAAGTATTGTCCGATGAAACAGGAACCTGAGGAGAAGAAGAGGATGTGTTCCTCGCAGTCGTATCCTCTCCTACTTCAGGCCCTTGTGTCTCCCCAACCAAAACCCCTGAGGCAATAGTCGACGGAACCTCCTGCTTCTTAACAACTTTCCAGATTGGTTTTGGAGCCTGGTTTCGTCCCGACCTAGACCTTCTTCCATGTCTTGACTCCCTACTTCGTGATCTCTGTGTGGACCGCTTTGTTGCAGAGGAGACAGAGGGCCTAAGAGAGTAGTCCTTGGTATCATGGCCAAACGCATTGCAATCTGAGCATCTCGCAGGAAGAAAAGGATAAGAAACCTCAAATTTCCACTTCTCGACCATTAGAAAACCCCAAGACCAACTTGGTAGGTAATTCTTTTGTTAAATCAACACGGACAACAACTCGAGCAACATCAAACGATTCCTCGCGTTCCGTTTCAGGCGCTAGAGCAACCGGTTTACCGACAGCCGTCGCAATTCTGCTGAGGCTCTGCCTGGTGAAAAGGAGATAAGGAACATTCATAAACTCAACTGTCACCGGAGCAGAGGTGATTAGAGTTGATTACGGATTATATTCAGACGACCATGGAGACACAAACATAGGATGACCTGCGATGTTCCAAACACTAGGACTGAGAAGAATCGCCCTTGTTCTGGGATTCTGAACCCGAAGGAGATAAGAGCTGAACCCGACTTTATGCACAAAGATTTGAGGTCCATTACGAGCCCACAGTGCATTGACCACACCGATAATCCTTCCCATGAAATCCTTGAATTCCTCTTTTGCCTCTTCAATATTCTCATCTGGAATCAAGACGAAAGGAACTCCGGTGATATGCTCTGAAGGAGTACCAATTTCTTCCAGGGGAGAGGAATTACACATGACGCTGGTCCATTTCCGAGGAGAGGCAACGTCGACTTTGGGTTTGCTTACTGAATCCGGGGAAGCAGGGCCGGAGGAATGACACTCAACCTCAACGGCGACCAGAGGAGGACCGGCAATAGCATTAGCCAAAGGTGGAGAAGCCAGATCTGATTGAGGCACGATTCCCGAGGGAACGACAACCTTTAGATCTGTGGGGTAAACTTCCGCGGACTTGGATGGAGGAGCTCCATTGTCAATGATCGAAGAGGAAGGGGCTGAGAGAACACTGGCGGATCTTTGTCTACTCAAAAAGAATATATTTTGCGTCGCAATCAAGAGTTTAAGATCGATGAAGAAGAAGTTGGGTAGACCAAAGAAGATGAAATTCGACGATGAGCGTCTGCTTCTACCAGAGAAGGAGAAACCAAGGAAATAATCCAAAAAAATCTTGTTTTAGTTGCCACCGTCGAATTTCACTTTCCTTGGTCCACCCATCTTTTTCTTCATCATCTCAACGTTTGCACCAACACTCACGAGACACCAGCATTTGGATCCTCCCTTCCATTGCTCTTATTGTAAAAGAAGAGGATAGAGTCAAATGCTTGATTGGATGGTTTTGTTTTCAAAAGAGACAAAAACAATTTATAGAGGAACTCAAGTTGAACCTATACGGTATATTCATTATTATTCACTACAAGAGTTACATTTTAAGAATCGACCGTTATGACTTATGTACGTCTGAAACAAAAACATA